TCTAGTCTCAGACTCTTGGCCACTTTAGCAGTGTCAGGTATGGGTTTCAGCTCATGGAATGGAATCAAAATGGTGGGTTACTTCTGTAACATTTGTATTATAAACATGGGGCCACTTTGAACAAGGAGTCAACTACATGTAACCCTGGGCACTGGAGGTTTTACTTGGTGGCATAAGATATCTAGCTAGGGCACTGTTTCTCCCATTATGTGGTGACTCCATTTGATCCCTTTCATATACATACATATTTTAGGAAGCTTCTACAGTAGTACTAAGGTTCCATATGGTTTTTCAGAAGGCCTTTAGTGTTAGTTGTCCCTCCCCATGTTCCCATTTTACCCTGCTCTCCCCTCCCCCTCCCCATTTAATCCCCTCTTCTAGTTTCCTCTTTGTCTTCCTATCACTCTATATTTACTCTATTTCCCCTTCCTTGAGAGATCCTCTCCTCCTGCTGGTCCCTTACCTAGTAGTAATGCAGAGTATAGCACACATATCTAAAGCTAAAATAAATAAATGAACTTTAAAAATTAGAACATGGACTCATCAATGAAAGATACTTTTACAAATGATTACACTAGACTAAACTTTATGGAAGGTCTCTAAAAGAAATTTTCAAACACACCTGAAGCTTTAAAAAATTAATAAATGTAAAGTGATACCATGTTTGGAAACTGGCATTCTCAGGATTGTAAGAATATTAATTTTTTTCCCATTTACCTTCAGGCTCAATATAGTACAAACCAAGGAATCTTTTATCGTTGCTGTTTTGGGTTGTTTTTTGTTTTTTTCAAGACAGGGTTTTTCTGTATAGCCCTCGTTATCCTGGAATTCAATCTGTAGACCAGACTGGCCTAGGACTCAGAGAGATCCACCTGCCTCTTCCTCCTGAGTGCTGGGATTAAAGGTGTGGGACACCAATGCCCAACACAAAGAATCTTTTCAGATATAAGATGTAGCTTATAAGATAAAAGTTTTATATTTAAAATCCATAAAGGACAAGAATAACCAATGTAATGAGAAAAAGTGAAGCTTGAATGTTCTTTTATAAAGCACCTATTATTAAAACAGTATGATAGTATGCAAGTAAACCCATGGAACAGAATGGCTAGTCCAAAAGCAGACCACCACAAGTTTGGACACTTGCTTTTTGACAAGAGTGGCTTTGGAAAGCAGTGTGGAAAAGATGGCCTTTGTATATGGTGCTGAGTCAACTTAATCTTCAGATGGGGAAAAAAGTATATCTTTCTCACTTCCTTCCTATATTGATTCTAGATTGATTCCCGGCAGACTGCATTAGTGAAGTGTGTCTTGGGGGGAATTTCCTGATAAATTTAATGGAAAAAATTCACCATGAATAAAGGTAA